ATGCGCCCATATCAAGGAACATCTGGAAGGTAGAGTTAAGTCAGGAACCATCCACTCCTTTGAGCATTTACAGAATGCACAAACATGCGGGAGAGAATTTTGAACAAAACATCAAATCTTAGATTAGGAACCAAAAACATCAGCTCGTAAGACTTTGGAGGCATTTTGAATCCACAGAAGAATCCAAAATGAATCGCAAAAAAGTACGCCAACCACTAGGAAACTCCTTTCTTATCAGGTCCAAAAAGGTGACTATTTGATCTAGAGGTGTAATCAGTGATCCAACAGTGTCTTAGATTTTTGTCTGTGAGGTTGAAAACACGTTCCATCGGTAAGACTGCATTTCGCCCTTTTCAAACTCTAGAGAAGGCGATCCTGCCGAAACGTCACCCACTATTAACAATTGCGACGCAAAGAAAACCATTCAGTAAGATGTATCTTCTTCTTCACAAGAGTTTCATATTATATCTCTCATCGCTTTGAAAAATCAAGAGATTTCCACTTACAGTAAATAGCTTGCGATTATAGCTAACTTAGCCACTCAAGTTAGCTATGATTTTATGCAATGTAGAACGTAAAAATTGAGTTCTGTGTGTCTGAGTGGGTTTGAAGCTCGACTTCGGCAAAAATCTAATTGGAAGATAGTGAGCGTACGTATACAGTCAAATCTGCAGAAATGAATTATCTTCAAATAAAACGTGTTTCAAGTATTTCTTTTTCTTTTTACAATGGAGGTATATTACCCTCCACTCCGGTTAGTCTTATTGTTCATCAGCATCATCCTAAAAGCTTGCTCAGATCCCTCTCATTCCCTCATTAACCTCATCAAAAAATTCAGTCGTCAGCGCAATTTGCTGTTCTGTTTTGTGACACATTTGCAAGTTATTTTGCTTTCAGTCAGTATATCCAAGAACCATCTATCCCAGCACAATGTAAGGGACTTTCTTCTGGAATGCAACGTTCAAAAGTGCAAGTTGAAGAGTCATCTTTAATAATCTTTTTTTTCAATACAATTTTACAATCCATGTTATTTCAAAAGCTCAAAGTATTTTACTTACCGTGTGCTATAGGGCTCAAGTTTGTTTAGATAGTCAGAAGTTCCTACATCATCCAAGAAACACATCAACCAAATGTCGCATTTGATAGCCTCCTATTGCCACAGATCCGTCGCTAAATTAGCTGCTGCAAGCAATAGAGTGGATATGGAAACTCAGCGTCAATTTTTCTCGTTAGCAGATGAAGTAACGTTTATACGCGAATATCTGTTGTGATGTATTATCTCTGGGTTTTCCAAAAAATCTTTAGAAGCCTAAGTGTTTTACTTTAAAAGTTTTTTATAGGAAAATTGTATTGCATTTCACCTTTACGCCAATAGGTCTTTTTACGTCTTCCAGTAACACTTAGAAGCTCCAAACTTTCTATTACCTTTTTCACAATAATCTTATCTATTGAAGTTCTAGAAGGTTGCATAAGAGATCACTAAACTTTTTGAGCTCTGAGAAACAAAAGTGTTGATTGGAGACCTGAGGTCTTTCATAGGTCTCTCCGGATTTTCGGTTTCCAAAGATTTTGCGTACAAATCTTGAACACCTCGCGCATTTTCCTACCAACTTAGAGGCCATCGATCGACTATCAGCTGAAGACCGGTTTGAGTGAATACATGAAATGTGTGTATTTTTCCTGGGCAGATGTTCTCTCAAGTCCAGAGCAGACTTTGGACATGTCAGTTATGTTGTAGGTAGTTGTTGAAGGCGCTGGTAAAGTGAATACTATGAAAGACGAAAAAGGAAGAAACTACAATCCCGCAAACTTCCGCCCCTTAGGATTTTTGCTTTTTCCCCAAGTTTTCAAGTGGGTAGTCGCGAACAAGTTTGGCGTGCAGCATAAGTGTTCTTGAGCTTTTCTGCGGAGACATTATCATCCCAAAGAAGGGAGAAATTGCAACAGAGTATATGCAAGAAACGCTTTATCAACTCGTGTGTTAGAAAGGGAATGTCAGTAGAAGAATGAAACCCACATCACAAGAGTGGTAGTCTCTGTGGTCCCAGAAAGAAAATTGACCAAAGGTAAGGTGGAATCGCTGAAGTCCTTCTTCGCCAAAGATGCGACTCGCTGGACTTGAAACTATTCAGCTTCTTGATTGATGTATATGTTTTTAAAGTTTGACCTTCCACTTCCACATAGTCCATTGTTGAGCTTCAAGAGGTACGATTCTTTTTGCTCCTTCTGTCTCTGTCTCTCTTCTTCAAGTTCCTTTCTAATTGTGCCATCAACACCAAGTCAACTGCGTACAGGAGAGCCCATGGATGGTCGCTTGAGACTCCATCGCTGCTTTCATGACTGGATGAAGAGTAGAGGAGAAAACACTGAACCCTGGAGTGGTAATAATTTATGTTACGATATCAAGGTCGCAATCGCAACATGTACGGCATGACTCGCGCCAGATCCAGCTATCTCGCACTGTGCCGTATCCCTCATCATTGGAGCCTTACGCGGTGCGAACACATCGGCGCGGGGGGGATGCGAGCATGTTACGAGGTTCGCGATGTTGTGATATCGTGACAGGCGCAAGGTGAACTAATGCGCGGATTGCAGAGAAAAAGAAATGTTGCGAGATCATGAGCTGGAGCACGTCGCGTTTGTGACATTCTATACGGGCAGTTACAATGCAGACTACACATTAATGACGCGCAATTTATCAGCTGCTAGAGGGGAAATTCTTTGCCATTTTCAAGGTTTCAACCGCTTTTTGCTTCACCTTAACGCAAATTTTGTTTAATTCTAGAGTATTTGGTGATCATATTTGTATTTAGAGCCCCGAAAAATTGTGCCATCAACACCAAATATCGTTTTGTTAACTTTATGAAAAAATGATTTCCAATTTTAGAACTGAGTCGTCTCAAAAGAATAAACGGCTCTTTTTCTTCTTTCTAATTTTGCGCCTCAAAGTTTATTGTAAGTGATATGTAGCAAATAATTGGTTTATTGGTTTTTTTCTAGACCCAAGTTGTTTTTCTTACCTAGTTTTTCACATTTTCATATGTGTGCAAATGCATTGATTCATTGGCGGACTCATGCTTCGGTAGATCAAATAGACCAAGACAACACATTACGCAAATTGGTACTTTCTTATACATTCAGCTGAAGAACTAAACATCAAAAACTTTACTGACAAATACTTATAAAGAGGAGGTTGCTCTTCTTTTTGAAATGGCATTCCAATTTTTGGCATAATGAGGTTAAAGAAGTAATAAGTAATAAGGAGTTGAAATCTTAAATTGAAGGAAGGTGAACGTGCCCGGATACGCTAAGCCATTATAAATGGAGGAATTAACCAATTGTTTCCAAAATCGCTAGTATTCGTATTGTAACACTTGCTATTACTGATGCGGCGAGAATGCCCCCATTTGCAAATAATTGTATTAGGTAATGTTTTCAATGTTTATGGGGAACTTTGTTGTACTGATAGCGCAATCGTTATGAGCGCCGTTGACGCTCGCTAAACACAAGTTCGATGGCTGGCCGGGTGCATGTTTTGCGTCAATTCTCAAACCGACTGAAAAACCTCATTCCTTGCGGCTAGCTTATGCCACGCTCGGAACTGTTACAAGTGTGGCTCGTTCTTGCTGTGATAAATTTGGGGAGATTAATACCACGCCGGTCTTTATGCGAAATAATTGACCCCTGTCGCAGTTGGAAAAAGCTCGTGGCTGCGTGACAGATCAATTTTACCTTTGGACCCAAATCGTTGTGTTCTTTGACCAGTCATGAAGCACGCTCTAAGCTTTGGCCTGACTGAAGAGCTTGCAAGCCAAGAGGACTGAGCCATCCATTTTCTTTCTGGGATTTGCTCAAAATGTCATCATGTTCTGTACCGGTACTCTTGCCTTTTTTTGTTGAAAGCCATACTTCCTCTGATGTAATGAGTGTCGCTGATCTTTACAAGGTCAGCTGATGCGGTGGCTGTGTCAGGGGTAATGGACGACATTTCGAAGTACGTTCGCCGTCTCTCAGTTATCTCCTGTGGTTTTCTTAACGTTTTGCCAAGTGTCTTTGAAATGGTAGGTGTTCCATGTCTTTTGCGGATTATGCTCTTTACATTGCCCGCTCTCCCTTACAAGACTTCAGTTTCACACAACTCTTCTACTTTCGCTTTCTTGACATTTTTCTTTGGCGTATTACATCTTTTATCTTTCGATCGCTTTCCAATTTTGCTTATGCAATTGCTTGTTTCTTTTCCTTAATCACCGCTTGTCATCACCATCACCAAGTTTCTTTATCTTCCTGGCTTCGTAGGACCGGGTAAATTCCTTCCCGATGTACGCTGCGCTTCCGGGTTGTTCATAACTGTTCTTTTTCTCACACAAAGCCGGTAGAGTACTTACCGAAACATTATTGGCAAGAGAGATCCTTTCAATTTCCATTGCTTGATTCGTGCTTTATTGCTAGTCATGGGTTTTCTTTGTCTTTCAATCAAAAATTTTAGGTATAGAAGTAGTGACGTGTGCTAAGGTATTTAATTCTCAACTGGGATAATTTTGCAATCCTTTATGTTCTAAAACGTACTGCCCAGTAGTCAATTTGATTTTTGGTACAGTATGTGTTGACTTATGCTAGATTGTAGGCTGTAAAATCAGGAATGGTTGGCCTTTTTCATTGCATGTCCCGTATCCATGGCTCCCGTTTTTTACACTTTCCTATATTAATTTCTTTTTTCCTCCACATAAGGCTGAGATCTGCTTCAAGCAGGAGTACCTCATCCTGAGGTAATACTGTGTAATCAACAAGCTCCTGCCAAAACATATTCTCTTCTTCCTTCTTGCCGGCTTTTGGAGCATAGTGATTATCGAACAATTTTTCTCCAATTTTTACGTTAATAAGTCGATCACTTATTCGCTCAACTGTGGTAATCTTGCTTTCTAAACTTCCACAGACAGCTATACCTACTTCATTTTGACTGCTGTTGTGCCACGCCAATTTCTGATGTGAGCCAGTGAGGGTTCCGACATAGATGGCACTAAACGGATCGTCTCTGAGTTTTCGGGTAGTTGCCTTCGAATAGCTAACATTCTTATTCATTCTTATGCTCATAAGGTGGTGGCCTTTGCCCGCTCTCACCCGTCGGACCCGCCTATGCATTGCCTCTGGAGGATCTACTAGTTTTATCTGATATTCTCTGTTTGATATTAGAAACTCATTTGCTCCCACGGGATGTTTCTCAGCCAGCTCGCGCGCTCAGAGGCAGCTTGACGCTGGAGTCGACAAGCAGAAATTATGTCTGTGAGGAATCGAACCCGCGACCTCATCGGAATAAAATCTCGAAAAGGAGAGCATTAACTCTCGACCAATCCTGCCTAGAAAGATTCAACTGTTTGGCGTCGAATAATTAATGCACGCATCCCATTCGAAATTATTATGGATACTGTGCACTTAAGCCGCTTCGGTTTAGCCCATCAGGAAATAGGAGCCTCTAACTATTCTTAGATTGTCGCAATCGCCCAAGTAGTATAGCAAAAAATTTCATAACAAAAATACCTTATTTTCAAGTTCACAGCAATTTCGATAAAAGCTTCGTTATTAGAAGAGTGAGTTGTAGTTGGAATTTTTGAGATTTTTGATTTTTGTTTCCGTCATTTGGAAAGAGAATTTTTTGGATGGACACACATCTTCTTCCCGGACAAGGTACAGCTTCGGGGCGGTGCGAATAAATGAACCGTGGACATTACATTCCAACTTAACTTATAAGCGCACTATGTGTACTTTTAAAAAGTTTTAAAATCACCGGCGTACAGTGGCAATCTGATTTATGCCTCAAGTTACCACAGTTATCTATTTTGTCTATGCAAGAAATCAAAGCTTGGTTTATGAGATGGACTTTCTGTTCAGCCGCAAGATTGCATTCTACGACCTAGCAGTCTATTGTATCCTTGCAGGGAACTTCAAAAACACTCACCTATAATGTAAATTGTTAAAAACTACAATTATTTCCGGGTATTTAAATCTTCAACAACTTCTTCGAGACTCTCGCACGTTTTTTATTCAAAGCATGCGCTTAGAAAACCTTCGAGGTCATTTTTTTCTCGACAAATACTTTAAAAAGTGTCTTGATACTTCTAGGAGAGAACGCACACACTAAAGTTCTTTCAAGCGCACTACATTACAGCTTCATAAGTGCTTCACCTTCTTTTCGAATGAGCTCTTCGCAACTCGTTAAGCTAATTGAACAGATGCCATCAATTTGTATGCAGCCACTAATGAAAACCCTCATAGAGCTTAAACATGAAACTGTCAGCAACCTAAACTGATATAGAAAAACAAAGTCGTTTTTTGCCTTATTAGAGAATAAAATAGCTTCATAAAAGAGGACAGATGCTACAGACGGATTACTATGTTTCATATTTTAGAAAAACATGCGGATTGCCATTGTTACCGTCCTACAAGACATGGCTGACCAAGCGAATTACTCCACAGCGATGGCAACAATGAAGTGCTACTGTAAACGGCAAAAATATGGATATATAGTAGCTAGCAGTGACATGTACAGGAATGTTTGTAAACAGAAACAGGTAAGCTACTTATTACTACCTATTTCTATTCCACAAAAAATGATTGCGATGATTTGGTTGGATGGCCTCATATATTCTCTTGTGTAAACTTCCCATGTTCTCTGCTGACGTTGTACTTGTCCATAAAATGCAATAATGTGGAGAAGTCTCATTTGCCATAAAAGATATGTTTTCTCTAGTTGGTAAAGTTAACACTTTTGAAAAACCATCATTTTTCTGCATATTCGATTCTCCTGATTTGTTCCACAATTAATTTCACTTGATTTTTTCTTGTTTTAAGATATGGAAATTAGAATCAGATGATTGCTTGGCAGATACTTGGTTCTATTAAATTGGGGTAATGTCACTCTGTACTTGTTCGGAGAAGTGGTAACTTGGACAAAGTGGGCGACGTCGAAGGAGAACTTTTCGGCACGTAAGAGAAACCTATTCTGGTTACTGGAATGCCGAATAATGCCGGTTTTTCCAATCCCGAAGTTTTGGCAATACACTCCAAATCAATTGAAAGAAGAGTCTTCCTTTATTATAAACTTGGCTATCCGCTGCATTCGGTTTGATAAATTGAAACTTTGAGTCCTTCAAAGGTAAAGGACCAAAAAGCTCAAACGATAGCTCGATTTTTTTCGAATGAGATTTGAAAATTGCTAAAGTGCTACTGTGTGAGGCGGACATTCTAAGCGCGCTTATAATATTACTCAAAGGGCTTACAGCTCAATTTTTGATTGCAAGGGACTCGGAATCAACAATAAGATTACCTTTAAGGTACTCGGATGTGATGTGAAAATCATATTTAATCCCCGCAATAAGACTTGCCGTAAAATTACGTAATAAGCTGCAATGGACAACATTACGGCTTTCTCTGAAAAATGGTCTAGAGAGGTTAATTGACATTCTGCCTACAAAAACCTTACATGGATTGCTCAACAAGCCCACATTTTGAGCGTTGCGATAAAAAGAAGAAATTTAATAGTTCAATCCTTATAGTGCTAAACGGCTTTACTATAGGAAATGGAGATTTTAGTACCAGCATGTCAATTAACCCAACTGAGCCACTCATTCAACTCTGTGAATTTGAACCTGCAGCGTATGCCTACTGTGATCTTACAAATTGTTCCTGTCTGTATGGCTATAATTTTCGTAAATAGCATAAACAATTAGTCCGGTAATGGCGTTGTTTTGAACTCTGATTGGTCCACAATCCGGAAAAATAATAAATAAACCTCCAATTCCTTTATACGCTCAAAGTTTGAAAACATCTCACATACTTGTCTGACAACTAAAAAATTTAACACTACAATCTAGAAAGTAAATAATTTGATCTGATAGATCCTAACGAGTTCTCGGTCTTTCTGTACTTGTGAATTCCCTATGCTAGCAATTTATGAAGAGTGGGGAGCATAGATTAGAAACATCCTTACAACAGCTAATCGCTTCCAGATTTTAAGAATTACCACTTCTTAGTAAACAATACTATGAAAAAGGTGATGGTGATACACGCTGAACTTCGCTTAACCTTTAGTAGCACTAAACAAGAAGCCTAACTGATTGTCAAGAATTCTTCAGACGGATTATGCGCTCTCCCGACAATGTAGTGGATAGGTGGTAAAACAGTTTTTCGACAACCACTGCTATTTGGTACTTCATATAAATTAACATTGTTGTGTATTTCATTTTCTCTTCAACAAATTTTCTAAACACTGTTTTTAATGTGAATAATTAGTACTAAGATACCATAATTAACTATTATACTCCTAGATATTATTTCTCAAAACATGCAAAGAAGTTTAGTAAAAATTTTATAAGCAGCTTATTTAAGATCGAAAAAAAAAACAAAAATGATTCTAAAAGGTAGTTCAATCTTCTTTATATCATTCGCTAAGTTAGTAGTAGCTGTCTGAAGCTGTCGTAACTAAAATTCAATAACTTCAATTGATGCGTACACTCACTCTGAGAGGAGACGAATCTGCGCGCCTATCTAAATGGTTGTTAAATCAATGAGGGCACGTTGTTGCAAAATGAGTAGAACCAAGCAAGGTAGAACCCACAATCTAATATGCATGACTCGAATGCGTCAACCCCATACCTACAGAGCTTGTTGGTTTGGGAGTCATTGAAAGTGACCCGATAAAATGACGTGGCAAGAAAAACGGCAATACTCTCTCTTCCTTCCGCGCTTGCACCTCTCCATTTTTCCTACTATTCCTCAACCTCTTTGTGAGCAAACCTAGAACCTAGAACGAACGTCTTTTGAAGGGGAATTAATGATAGAGCCAATTGGAAACAAATCATTTACAGAAACGCTACAAAATGGTTACTATAAAGAAATCAAGCAGTTCGTTAATGGAAAAACACCTTATAAGCTTCTGTGGCAGATAATAATGAGCACAAATAGGTATCATAATCGGAGGATGATATTTAGTAAGGTTGCCTTGATCCAATAACATATATGTGACTGGCCTCGTGCACCATGACATGTTTTTTGAAAAAGCATACGCAAAACCGCCCTTTCAGCCATTTTTGAGAAAAATTCAACTCCTCTTGTGTCGAAATCTTTCTTGTTATTTCCACAGTGGACCTCACTCTAAGTCGCTCTCTGTTGTATATTTCCTTCCGCAGATCTCCACGGAGGCGAGATAGTAAGGTCCATCCTTTTCCATTGGCTTATACGCAAGCTGATAGCTCTCCAGTTAACTCGTACATGAAAAGGTGTCGCGGTTCCCAGTGATTACGATGGGAATGATGTACTTATCCCAAAAGCTGTACTTACATATTGATAACCCTGTAATCACGCGACGTTTCGTTTTGTTCCTGCTCATATGCTGCAAACTATTCAAGAGGTTCAAGATATGGACCAGGTACCATCAATGCATGCATTATAATCAAATATGTAAATGAGTGTCATTTCCTTCCCGTTACATCACGGAATCCCTACTATTAGAGTCGCCAACTGAAAATTCGCTCGTCTCTCTTTTGAAGCATTTATCTTCTTTCTTAAAGGCAACAAAGTGCACGATATTAGGATTGTTCAAGGCGTTTGAAGGCGAGTGACGACATAAGGAGCAGTCTCCTGACTACGGTCTCACGTGTTAATAATACTACTTGATAGGCGTTAGTGCGCAATACGTAACGTTATCAAGACTATAGAATTTTTTATAATAGGCTGTCGCAAGAGCCAGGGAATCTCTTCAGTTGGAACCGCTTCGACAACATGACGGCTGTGCTTTTGTCTCCTAGTAAAGGATTACGTGTAAACGAATACTTTAGAATACATAACATCACCAATAACGTTGGTTTGAGATCAGAATATCATCGGATAATCAAAATCTAATTGCCTGCGTGATACAAACGATGCCTCACCTTAGGGACACCGACAACGTTAATAAACCTAAGAATGAATGTCAAGCAACCTGTGGAAAGGCATGGAATTTGAACGAAACTGTTATGATTGTCATATAGTCGTCGTGGCTGCATACGTCAATCGTTAAAGAAGCAGATAGCATCCCTCTCATGAACTCGTGTCTACCCGAGTGTAGGGAAAAGGCAATCCTAAGAGTACTTCATCGCGTAAAGGTCATTGAAAGGCCAAGTATAGACCAACACAACTGCATTTTTAACAACTCTGACTCAAGATAAGTATCAAAGCTCCTACCTCTCATAGATAGTGTAGTTTGCTTTTGCTGGTCGATTTGTTGTGAAGGCAAATCAAATGTCTCTCTTATGGAAGATTGGACGAGAAACGATGAGAAAGTGGGAAAAACGTTAATGGTAGCCTCATGTGATATTTTCATCCATCATGTGATATTTTGAAAAGTATACGTAAAGATATAAAGAGGAAGAATTTGAGGAAAGCGAGACGGAATCGGGCTTACACGGTGGGCATGCTGTTTAGCGAAGGTGGTTTTATACCAATGAAGGGGTACTTAGAAAGGTGCACTTATTGTATATATAGACTATGATAATCGCATTGCTTAAGCCATACTACCAATAACCTATTGATTTGTCTCATTACACTGTGGCAATCCGAAAACTAAGCATGCAAAAACAAAATATATTAGACATTTAACCGATCAAAAGAAACGCCACTCTAGAAACCGCTGGAAGTAAACGAATAAAAGGAAAGCTCTATACAATACGTAATGTAAAGAGTAAGGCACAACCAATGTAAGCAACGTCCACACCCTGATTCGCTCATGCAGTATCAGATTATTGGAACTTAGAAGCCATACCACAGGCAGACCCAGATTCTACCGCCAGAATACAGGTTGGTTGTAAATGGATAAGTTCCTGTAAAAGAAAACTGTAAAAACGAGAATTAGTAAAAAAAAAAAGATTGAGGGCCCAACTGAGTAGCATTAATGTAATTCAAAAGAGAGATTTTGGTGGAATGCATTGATGGTAGCCTTCAAATACAAAAAGGCTGGGAGGCCTTTTATACAATCGCCGTATACACCACTTTCACTAAAGGCAATCTACGAGAAAGAACCTATGGAATAACATTGGATGAACAGGTAAAAGGTGGCGGAGATAGAACAAGTCACAGTATAACTAGATCCCCACAATACCTCCCCTATGGATTGCTATCTTCAGTCGTGGTATTTCCGAACGATCTGGTGACGGTGCCAAGGGCTTTGTCGAGTTCTTGTCGGCGTGCATTATGACGGCTTGGTCCTCGGTCTTGTCCTCTCACAGATTCGTCGGCATTACACCGCAACAGCAAATCGAAGACTTCGAACTCCTTGCTTACCGTACTGGCTTCCTAAAGCTTGTGGCTCGCATGTCTTCTCCAAAAATGTTCATTTCAGTGAGCACATCGTATACGACTTGCCATGACGTTTCTTCACATAAGCGGATATCCATCTATATCCAGGGGCGATAGTCGCAAACCCACACTAATTCTTTCGTTGGGAACGACTTTTTGGCGATTGATCTTCCATTTTCTCATTGCCATTCCCTTCGTTGGGCTTCTCCAACGACGTTAATAACATCCTAATCTGACGTCTCTGGAACACTTCAGCTGGCGAACGTTGCCTAGGCGTTGACATCCGCGTCCGTTGGCAGCATTGTAGTAATAGCGAGGATTTCCGAGTAGTGCAAAAAGTAACCTGATCTCTCTTAAGGTAGAAGTAATTGACGACGACAACATTTCGAAGACTTCCGGCCACTTTGAGTAAGAGTCAATTACGATGAGGTACATCTTTCCATTCGGTTGTTTAGTCAATGTGCCGATTCTATGGAGCTTCTTCCATATTTCACGAACTCAGAACTGTCTTCAGCGGCATCTTTGGGGCTTCCTGACATTTTCTACGGCGGCCCACTGTCTCCTCGATTTCTCCGTTAATGCCCATTGTATGTGAATCCTCTCGCGAGCATCTTCATTCTTGTCATTCCCGGATGCCCTTTATGCAACTGCTTCAAAATCGTTTGTAAATGATTTCAGAATGACTTGTGGCCGAAATACAGACATCGAGCTTTCAGACACCTTGAATGTCCGTATATATAGTGATGAGACTTGCGAACGCGTGGCAAATTGTTTTCTCATTTTCAGTCCCATCCGCCATTTTGTACAGAAATGCTGTTCCAATTCTATAGTCTGATGCATCGGCAGCGAGCACAATTTCCAAACCAGGATCGAACTGTGTCAAGAGCAGATCCGAAGAAACTTCCTTCAGAAGCGTGAATGCCTTTTTGCATTCTTCTGTTTATCTGAAGGGGATACTCTTCTCGAGTAATACGTCCAATGGTGCTCGCAATTGGCGCGATCACGAACAATCCATAGTAGTTGATCATGCTTGAGAATAAGCGAACATCTGCTGTGTTCTTCGTTGCTGGCCTTTGGCGGATAATCTCAATCTTCTCTGGGTCCAGGTGGCGCCCGCTCTTGTCTATGATGAAATCTAAATAATAAATCTCTGGCATCAAAAGGTGAGATTTCCAGCTGGAGTTGAAAGCTGTACTCCTTCCTTTTGGGCAACGCATCCAAATTTCTGCGCTCATAGGTCTTCCCGGTAACGATAATATCAGGCTACCACCTCCAATCCACCTATCATAGAATTTTGTTGGAAAGTACCTGGTGCCGATTTGACTCCGAAAAGTAGGCGATTGTAACGATCAATCCCTTAGGTGTAATTTTTTGTCGGTCCTCCTTTGATGCTTTCATACCTGCAGATATGCTTCTGCCAGATCAATCTGCTTAAAGAGCTGCCCTCTACTGAACTTTGTCAACATATCCTGAGCGGTGGGCAACGGGTGATACAGGTGATAAAAATAATGGCTAGCGATGGCCAATACTTTGAATAAGGTATTAATTCATTCAATTATTAATTTTATGATTCAAATAAATGCGTTTTTCAAGCAAAAAAAAAAACGGACCGAATTAAGTTGTACACCCAA